TCATCCAGTTCTACCTCCTGCCATGGACAGGACACCTCCCACTGTCCCAGCCCTGCCCAGCCTGGCCTTGGGCACTGCCAGGGATCCAGGGGCAGCCACAGCTGCTCTGGGAATTCCATCCCAGGGCCTCCCCACCCTCCCAGCCAGGAATTCTTTCCCAATATCCCATTTAAATCCCCCTTTTCCAGCTTAAATCTATTCCCTGTGTCCTGTCCCTCCCTGCCTTGTCCCCAGTCCCTCTCCAGCTTCCAGAAGCAGCTGAAGCTGAGGGCTGTGGGAGAGCCAGGCAGGAGCCCAGGAATGTGCACTCACCTCACAATTCCCACAATTATGTTCTCAAGGATGTGATCCCGGGAATAATTTTCTTATCAGAGCTTATCTTAAGTGGAGACTGTGAAATCTTTCAGCCCTGGGGATGGGAAGCAAGCTCAGGTGTTTGGGACAGTCCTTACCCACATGGGAGCCATCTCCTGAGCCAAAGGAGCATGTCCAGAGCTTCTCTCTCCATCAGCTGAGGGTCTGGCTGGCGCCCAGCATGTTCCTGCTCTCAGGTATCTCAGGAATTCCCACTCCTCCACCCCAAAATGCCTCTGTGGCCTTTCCATCACGAGCAGAGCAACGCTGCCAAAAATCTCCCAGACGGAGGAGGCCAGGCAGAATTTGAGGGGGAGCGATATTTTTCAAGTGGAAACGTCGTGATTTTATTTTTTGATTTTTTTCATCTATTTTTCTTCCTTGTCTGGAGCAGAAGCTGGAGCCTTGGCCCAGCAGTACCTGGAGAGAGGCCTCCTGGTGCCTGACCACGTCATCACGCGCCTGATGGTGGCCGAGCTGGAGAAGCGGCGGGAGCAGCACTGGCTGCTCGATGGTGAGTCCAGAGGGCAAATCCCAGCCCCTTTGGGATGTTCCTCTGTTCCCCAGGAGAGAGAAAATCCAGGAGCTGGAGGTGGGAGCACGTGGGAACCCCGGCCTTGCTCTGGGGTCTCGTGTGGTGGTGGAATTCCTTCTCCAACCCGTGATTCCAAAGAAAAACTGCGCAGGCTCTTGTTGTTTGGTCCCAAGGCAGTTTGTTGTGAGTTATCTAAAAGATTTTCTTCTCTGGCTGCTGTGGTTTGTTCACAGCCCAGGCAGAGGCACACACACACCCCTGACATCCTCCCTGTCTGTGTCTTCTTCTTCTCTCTCCCCACCCAGGGCTGCTGCTATCTTTTATATATTACATATTACATGTTTATAATTTTCCCCCAATACCTACTACCTATGTTACAAGGTGCTTTTCTACTCTAAACCAATCTGTGAGTGCCAACATCACCAAGAACATGGAGGTGAGGAAGAAGAAGGAGAAAGAACAGGATCAGCCCACTTTCCTCCATCTTAGAACTTCTGACCCCCATGTACCAAGTAAAACCCCCCTGTACAGGTGCTAAACCCCCCCTGTACAACACTAAAAAAATTTCCCCTCTATTTTGTAACTACTTTTACTACACTATCTAGCCTTGTGTGACTGCTTGTTCCACCTCCAAAGTTGGTAACTCATCCCATGGCTCAAACTCAAAATCACAGCTGTGTCCAGCTGCCTGCCAGGGTCAAAAATGCTTCTGACCTGGGCCTGGAACCTCTAAAAATGTCTGAGAGACATTTTGAGTTCTGACAGGAGGAGAGGCAGGAGCTGAGCTGCTGGTGGGGACGTTTCCCGCTGGGCTCGTGTCCGGCTGAGCCCTTGGCATGCGGCGGGAAAGGGAAGGGCAGGGAGAGGAGCTGGGTGTTCCACAAGCAGGGCAGGGCTGGAGACAGACCAGGAAAAACTTCCCTCCTTCACGTGTGTGTGTGTGTGTGTGTGTGTGTGTGTGTGTGTGTGTGTGTGTGTGAAGCAGCTCCTCGATCGCAGCCCAGAAGCCACCTGAGGTGGAGGGATGGGAGATGCTGAGGGCAAACAGGCACGGCCTGGGGTCCCTGGCCATGGCTGGAAGGAGAATCAAAGGATCTCAGAGTGGTTTGGATTGGGTGAAACCTTAAAGGTCACCCAGTGCCACCCCTGCCATGGGCAGGGACACCTTCCACAGGCAGGGACACCTCCCATTATCCCAGGCTGCTCCCACCTGGCTTTGGACACTTCCAGGAATGTGACAGCCACAGCTGCTTGTGCCAGGGCCTGCCCACCCTCCCAAGGAATTCCTAATTCCCAATATCCCATCCATCCTTGCCTTCTGGCAGTGGGAACCATTCCCTGTGTCCTGTCCCTCCATCCCTTGTGAAAGATCTCCCTCCATCTTTCTCGTGGGCTCCCTTCTGGTCTTTAAAGTCCCTTCCTACCCAAACCATCTGGGATTCTGGAGTTCTCTGCTCCAGCTGCTCCCTGGCTGTCCCAAGGAGGACAGGACCGTGTCACTGCAGTCTCCTCAATGCCCTCCACCTCAACCAGCAGTTTGTCTGTGCACGGCGCTCTGCTCCCTTCACCTTTCCCCTGGTCATTCCAGCACTCATCCCCGTCCTGCCATGGCCTGTGTCCTCCTGCCCACGCCCAGCCCCGAGCAGGGCCAGCAGGCACCAGCCCGAGCCCCGGCTCTCACATTTCGGGACCTGCTGCTGCTGCAGGAGCTGTTTCTTCTCGGAGCCATGTCTGCCTTTCACACGGCCTGGGGCTGGGCCCGGGCTCCATCCTCACGCTCTCCAGCCTCTCACCCCGCTCCTGCCGCCCAGGCTTCCCTCGGACGCTGGGGCAGGCCGAGGCTCTGGATGGGATCTGCCAGCTGGACCTGGTGATCAGCCTGAACATCCCCTTCGAGACGCTGAAGGACCGGCTGAGCGCCCGCTGGGTGCACCCCGCCAGCGGCCGCGTCTACAACATGGACTTCAACCCGCCCCACACGCAGGTAGGAGCCCCGAGCCGCCCACAGGAGGGAAAGCTGGGAGAGGTTTCTGGGAGAGGTTTCTGGGAGAGGTTTCTGGGAGAGGTTTCTGCTCTCCGCAGGAGCTGGGATCCTGAGGGAGCTCCGGGGGTGATCCTGGGTGGAAGAGCTGAGCGCCGTGAAGGGATGGCGCTGAATGTTCTGAGGGATGGTGCTAAAATTTACTGAGGAATTCTGCTGAACTTTCCT